CTGGTGGCATAGCCTTCATTCATCTATCTATCTATCTATCTATCTATCTATCCAGCATTATATTCGTATTTATTTACTTATTTTGGTTTTTTTTGAGACAGAGTTTCTCAGTGTAACCTTAGCTGTCCTGGAACTCCCTCTGTAGACTAGGCTGGCCTCGAACTCACTGAGATCTGCTTGCCTCTGCCTCCCGAGGGCTGGGATTAAAGGCATGTGCCACCACCACCCGGCGTCTTTATTTATTTTTATCGCATATATTTTAAGTTTCACTTTATCTTATATGATCAATGTTTGCCATCATGTATGTATAGGAACTATTTACGTGTCTGTCACCTGCAGAGGACTGAAGAGGGGACTGATCTCCTGCAACTGGAGTTACAGATGGTCTGAGCCTCTATGTGAATGCTGGGCTTTGAACCTGGCTCTTCTGCAAGAGCAACTGTGATGGGACCTGCCAAGGGCATGTCTTCAGGCCGGGTTATTTATTTAGAACTGGGGATGGGCCAGGGCCTCGTGTATGTTGGGCAACCAGTCTGCCACTGAGACATCCTTTGAGGAAATATTTTTTGAATTGGGGCTTTCCTGGTCTCCCATCCCTGATGGCTAAGCCGGAAGCTTCCTCCTATTTCTCTGCGGAAGCAAGGGAGGCTGAGGTTTAGAGGAGCAGAAACCCAGGTGAGAGAAGGCAGAGTTTGGGTCTGTGTCCTGGTCCCTGTGGGGTCCCTGCCCACATACCTCCCTCCACTTGGCGTCGCTCTTCTGCTGGATCGTCACCGGGTCTGGCTGGAAGGTCCCCAGTGGTGCGTGCGCCGACGACAGGAGCTGAACGCACAGTTGGTACTTGGACCCGCAGTCTGGCCTGGCTGCGAACCTGCCGGTAGAAGAGGGAAGGGCCCCTGAGGACCTGGGAGATGAGGGGCAGGGCAGGGGTGGGGCGCCTGGACGGCAGGCCCCCCCCAGACCCTCGCCCCATCACTCACCAGTCTTTGACCTCGATGTCCGGTCGGGTGGTGTCCATCAGCTCCTCCCAATACCCTTCAGCCTTGAGGTCCACCACCTGGGACTTGAGGCAGGTGCTGGGTCAGGGAGGAGGAGGGGCTGGAGTTCAGCATGGGACCCCATGTTAGAGCTTGGGCTCCCCCCACCCGAAGGCCCTAGATCTTACTAATAGGAAGTCACGAAGTATTTCTTGACCTGGTCATTGGGGAATTCCTTCCGCTGGTCTTTGGAGAGATCTTCCACCTTCCATTCGTCTCCTCCGTTCACGTCCAGGCTCCAGAACTCAAATCCCTCTGTGGGGAGAGCAGAATCTACCATGCAGGAGACCCCTCAGGGCACCTTCTCCAAGTACTGCTTCCTCTCAGAGGTGGGAGTCCCAGCTGCCCTCCAGCCCTGTGCTTTGGCATGGTAGGTGGCACATTAGTGCCTCCTGTGTGTTCTGGGCGTAGGGAAGAAGAATCCTGGGTGATCAGACCCAGCGGTGACGGAGAACGCTCTGGCAGACAGACTTGCCTCTTACTCACTCCAGCAGACATGGGCTGTGTGGCCATGGGCCCATTACTTTCCTTCTCTGAGCCTTGGTCCTCTTGTTAGCTAGAATCAAGCACAGAGGCACACACCTGCCATCCCAGTAGGCTGAGGCAGGAGGATATCTGTGAGTTCAAGGCCAGTCTAAGCTATGTACTGAGTACCAGGCCAGACGGGGCTACATGGCAAGATAGCAAGACCCGGTCTCAAAAAAGCAAACATAAGGCTGGCAAAATGCGTCATCGGGTAGACGCGCTTGCCACCAAGCCTGATGACGTGAAATGGACACCTTCCAATCCCACGTGGTGGAAGGAGAAAACCGACTCTCCCAAGGTGTCCTGACTTTCACGTGTGCAGCTGCAACATTCACAGCTCTCCCCCACCCCACACACCTAACACACGCATAAATAAACGTCAAAAGAGAAGGCTCTGGGTGCCCTAATCCCTGAAGGCTTTGGGCCTCAGGCTGTCTCTATCGCATAGGTTTTGTGTTTTTTTGTTTGTTTGTTTTGACACAGGATTTTTTTTTCTGTAGCTTTGGAGCCTGTCCTGGAACTCACGCTCTAGACCAGGCTGGCCTCGAACTCACAGAGATCCGCCTGCCTCTGCCTCCCGAGTGCTGTGATTAAAGGTGTGCACCACCACTGCCTGGCTCTGACCTGTTCTTGGAACCACAGTGCAAAAGAGACTTCATCCCTAGGCAAGATTCCTTCTGGGACAGTCCCCACAGGCCTAACCTGGGGTCTGTAAGTGAGGACAACAGACTGTGGCTTCCACTTTTGTCTTTGGCACAGCCCGGTCCAATCAGCCACCATTTCTTTTCCTAGGAAAGGTTTTAGGAGAGGCTACCCTCAAATTTATGACCCTTCTTCTGCTTGTCTCCCCAGTGCTGGGATTATAGTATTAGCACCAATAGAAACAGCAATAATCACTTTGTTTGGAGAGAGTCTCAGGTAACCCAGACTGGCTTCTAAAGGATGATCTTGAACTCCCTACCGTGGGTGTCAGCATACCCAGCTGAGAAATAATCTATAACAAACAGTGCCCTTGGCCTCAGTCTACCCATCTGAAAAGCGTGTACATTAATAGTTCCTACTTCTAAGAATTATTGTGAGAGGAATAAAGGCCATAATGTATGGTCAAAGGGCTCACAACCAGTGTTCAGGACATGTCCGCTGGTCTCCTTACAGAGCATGTGTCCTGTCAAGGCAGACAACTCTGCACCCACCTTCCGCACACGGGTTGTGAAGGAGGTTCCTTCGGAGGCTTCGCAGGAAGTAGAAGATCTTCCAGTCAGCCACGGGCTGGTCCCAGTCCTCGGTGATGAAGCCCTCTCGAAGGCACTTGCGCTTCCAGAGGGTCACCAGGTCAATGAGGTCTCGCCAGAGGCTGCAGACGGGTCGGCAGCGCAGCAGTAGCTGGCGGGCCGGGACGTGGGTGAACAGCTCCAGGAGAATGTTCTCCGGTAGCTCGTTGATATTGCCTACAGCCATGGCAGCGGCTCCTGGCCTGCCCCTGTGGGTGTTAGAGAGCTACGCTAGACATCCAGCCTCCTCCCTGGCACCGGGCATTTCCAGCGCCCAGGGATAGAGAGAGTCCTAACTCAGCTGGCACCGGCTCTCTCCAGTCACTGGCTGCGCTGGCGACCTTCAGTTTCCTCTGTAGCAAACAGGGCGGGAATGGTACTCCCCTCTAGGAGCAGGGGCAGCTCCAGGTGCGTGGGCTAGGGAATCTCTCAGGAAATGGTGAGCTCTGATCTCTTCCAACCCGACCCTTAAGGACAGCTCTGTGGCTGCCCAAGGAGCTACCCAAGGTCACACATACAGGAGAGGAGGGGGAAGCAGCTCCGGACTTTACTGAAGGCAGAGCCAGCCATTTTCAATAGGCCGGCAGTCTTTTAAGAAGAGGAAAACAATGGGAGGCCTTGTGAGCTCCGGTCTGCCACTCCTCATCCTCTCCCATCCCCCCAGGGGAAAAGGCGAGAGATGATGAGCGGGGTTATCACTGTCTCAGGACCCGTCACGGAGTACAAAAGGCTCAGTGACGTTCTCAAGATCTCAGAGAACCTGACCCGCTTACCTGAAACTGGGGAAAGGTGGGCGGGTGGACAGGAGCCTTCCTATCTCCCTCCCGCACCCCGGTGGTTGGGCTCTAGCGGAAGCTGCCCTCCCCCGCCCAGGGCCCCGGTAGTCTCTCATTTCTTATGCGTGGCCCTAAAATGCGCTACCGGCTCAAGATGAGATATAGACCTCTGAGCACCGATGGCGTCCCCAGCCCAGGTCCTCGAGGTCTCACAGTGCAGTGGGGGGTAAGCCCCGAGGCCAGGGCCTTAAAGGCGCTGGGCCTCCAGGATCGCAGAACGGCACCTGCCCTCGCCACCGCTAGGTCCCTGCCCACTGCGTCTCCGTCCCCGCGCTGCGTGCTCCACCTCCCGAGGTCACCTGCGATCAGGAGAGCTGTGCAATCCCGCCAGGCCGTGAGGCTGTACTGCCCGGGCCTGCGTGGCCGGGGGTTACAGACCTGTCTACTACTCGCCAATCCTCCCCCGGACGGGGCGCTCAGTCCCCCCTCCTTTGGTCACCAGCGCCTGGTTGTGTTGCGTGACCGGTCCTGGCCATAGAACAGATCCCAGAATACGGCCCGCCCACCGCTCAGCAGACCCCGCCCCAACCCCGCCCCACAACATCGGTCCCTCTGCCTCCCGGTTTTCCTAGTCACTCGCGTTTAGCCGCGCTGCGCCGTACCCCCGGTTCTTGGGGCTGATCCATCCGCGCCAATGGTGGCCCGGGGTGCGATCCGTCCACTGTTGGGCAGACCACGCCTCCTCCCCACCCCATTTCTTCTGTCACCCGCCTTTGATCCGGCTGCACAACAACGCTGGGTCTTGGAACTGCGCCTTTCTGCCAATGCTGACCCCGCCCACTGCCCTTAAGTCCCCGCCCACATTTCCTTCAAGCTCCGCCTCACCTGCGCACTCCGGGAACGTGCCCCCACCGCAACGTAGGAAAATTACCTGGGGGGCGCGAAGTCGCTGATACCCCCAAACTCCATTTGGCCTGGCGCCCGCACTCTCTCCTCCCCAGATGCCCGACCCCTGGTGTCCTTCCGCCGTCACCCTCCAGGCGCACCGGGAGCCCACCCAGCCCGTGGGTGCCCCTCCCCAGTACCCGGCTCCTCCTGGAAGCCGCACCTTGGGCTCCGGGGGCGCGGGGCTCCCGGCCCCCAGCGTGGGGTCAGAGGCTGGGCGGGGCGCGCGGGGCCTTTAAGAGGCGCAGTGGCACGGACCAGGCTGACGCGGGCATCTCCAGGACTCGCCACCCGCAGCGCTCGGGTTCCTCTCTGTCGACGGTGCCGCAGCGATGGATGGAGATGGTGATCCAGGTAGCCGTAGCCGGCCCCGCTCGCTCGCGCCAGACCGGGGAGATCGGGAGGACGAGCGCCCCAGCCGGCGCTCAAACTTTCGGGACAGCAAAATCCCGGAGACAGTCTAGGGAGCAGTTTTCTGCTTGGTGTCTTGGTGTGGAGGGAGGAGGACGCCTGGGTCTCCAAAATGGCATCGGAGGACTCTGGCATCCCAGGTTCCAGACTTCCTCGGGTTTGAGAGCCGGGTTCTTGCAAGCTTTAGTTTCCATCAACTTCTTCCATTTGCTAGTTCTGCCTGCCCTCCCTCTCTCATGAGCCTCCGGACTCCCCGCCGGGTCCTGGGCTCACCAGCCTCACTTTTCATCCGTACCAGATTCCTGAGGGACGCCCTCCTTTGGAGGGGCCGCCTTGTGTCGGGTTAGTGGTCTGCTCCATTGGGACCAAGCTAGGGCTGGGTAGTAGGTAGTTGGGCTACTTTTGGCGGATGCTCTGGGTCCTCAAGGATTGTCCAGTCATCTTTTTTGGCACCAAAGACCCCACTCCTTCCCACTTCCAGCTCCCTGCTGGGCCTGTAGGTGGTTGTTTGCTGAGTCAGGCTAGAGAGCTGCCTGCCATGACCCCCACCCCTTCCTCACAAACCACTTTTTAGGAGAGGCGAGGCCCTCTAAGGCGGCCAAGCCACCTTCCATAACTGAAGCCCCTTCCAACTCCCAATTCTCCACCAACATCATCTACAGGGCCCCAGAATAGGCTCCTATTTTTCCCCTAGGGCCCAGGAAGTCCCTGGACTCAGGGGCCCAATCCAGGTGAGTGAGTCAGCGTGGGGTCAGCGTCCAGGGTTAGATAACTTTCCTACAGCAACAATGTGGCGAGTTGTGTGCGAGAGAGCAGGGGGGGGGGGGCTGTAATCCGATCTGGGGCCCCAACGCCAGGCCTAGGGGCCAGGAGAGAGGACTGGGTGAGGTGCATCTTTCCGGGAGCATCAGGTATCCGCTGGGGCCAGGGCAGGGCTGGGGTGGTGGTGGAGAGGTGAGGACATTGGGTCCAGCTCTCCAGAGAGCTGTGGGAAACAGGATGAACAGGCCGTTTCCCTCACTGCTTGATAATGCCCTGTGCCAACAGAGGAGTAAACCCCTACATATGAAAAAAGCCCCCCCCCCCAAATCATAGAAATGCAGGGAAAGTGGTGTGTGTGTGTGTGTGTGTGTGTGTGTGTGTGTAAGATTCACCATGGTTGATAGAGAACTCTGTGTGTTCTAAAGAAAGAGGGTAAATTCTGATTCAGCTTTCCAATGCTGGCAGTGTGGGGATTGCTGGCTGCATCGCATCGGAGGTTTGGGGAATAGGCCACCTGTCCCCTCCCTGCCACAGGCCTGCTCCCCAACTGCTCTGGATTTTCAGGGCCCAATCTTCAGGACCTCTGAGAGAAGTGACCTCCATTCCCCGGGGTGACTGGGTCCCCTCCCCACTGGCCCTCTCTCCTTCAGAGATACCAGGCACTTAGTGTCTGCTTACTCAAGGCTTCCATGGCCCAGATGAGGCAGGCTCAGATCCAAGTGATACCTACTGCCTACACCGTCCTGGGTGTGCAGTGAGCTGACCTCGAGAGCACAGCCTGAGAGATACTGCTTTCTTCTTGGGGCCTTGCCCCCACCATGGGGTTCTGACTTTAGCAAGAGTGGCTGTCCCTATGCCCTGCCCCTCTGTGGGGGACGGGGTGAATATCAGTATAAATTTGATGGTCTAGCACAATGCCGACTCCATTTCACAGATGAGGAGGCTGAGGGTGAGGGATGGGAAAGGGGGCACCCTTCCCCCATCACCCAGTACCTCTCCCCCTGTTGGTTTCCCATCCCCACTCTATGCAACATTGGCTGGCTCGGGACAGCCCAATTGCTAGCCCATTCTCTCCATTCTGAGTCCTTGGGTCTTCTACCCTAATACTGCCAGTGGGACCTATACCAATTCACTTCACACCTTCAAATCTGAGCATTTTCATCCACAGTATCAAAACCAAGATCAGAATACTAATGCAACCAATTCTTTTTTTTGCTTGCTTTGTTTTTTTTTCCCCCTCCAGACAGGGTTTCTCTGTGTAGTTCTGGCTGTTCTGGAACTCACACTGTAGACCAGGCTGGCCTCGAACTCACAGAGATCCACTTGTCTCTGCTTCAAGTATGCTGGGATTCAAGAATGCTGGGATTAAAGGCATGCGCCACCACTGCTTGGCTCAAAAACATTCTTTTGGTAACACCGCGGCTCTTAAAGCTGGCTCCTGTGTTGGACCAAATGGGTTCAAACACAGACTCCAAGTACTTATAAGTTGTGTGTGGTCCTGGACCTTGTCACCTCCCTTTCCCTTCATAAAATAGATGCTTTGAAGATTTAGGAAGTAATTCAGATGCTCCCAGCAGTAACTTATGCTTGCTAAGTGCTGATAAAATACAGTAGCTCCCCACTCCACACGAGGGGCTAGGCACTAGAAGAAAGCAGTGTCTCCCAGGCCATGTTCTTGTGCTAAGTCCACTATACACAGACATCGTGAATGCCTTTGGGTGTGGGCTGGGAGAGAGTGTGCTAAAAGTATATCCAAGAAGGCTCCCCGGAGGAGGCAAGGACCAGAGGTCTGGGAGGGTACTTAGGAGAACTGACCCACAAGTACAAGATCATCAGTAACCCCAGATACCTACCTGTGGGTGCCTACTAGCCCTGTGGGGGAAGCTGCAGCTGAAGCAATTCTTCTGGTTTAGGGGGAGTGTCTTTGGCTCTACCTTCGTGGGGTTCCCTCCTGGGCACAGTTTAGAGCCACAGAACTAACTAACTCTCTCTCTCTCTCTCTCTCTCTCTCTCTCTCTCTGTGTGTGTGTGTGTGTGTGTGTGAGAGAGAGAGAGAGAGAGAGAGAGAGAGAGAGAGAGAGAGAGAGAATTTAACTACTAGTCCTTCTTAGAACTCTCTATGTAGACCAGGCTGGCCTCACAGAGATACACTTGTCTGTGCCTCCTAAATGCTGGGATTATAGGCCAATGCCAGCAAATCCCCGCTAAGAACTTCTGGCCCCCTGCCGTGGTTGCCTCAGAGTAGGACGTGGAGGGGGACAGTTTGGGAGTCATAGCTTCCCCTTGCTCCCCGGTTCTCAGAGAATGGGAGCCACCCCGAGGAGGTGAGCCCAGAGGAGCAGCCAGAGGAGGCGGGAGCCGACGCGAGTGCAGAGGAGGAGCAGCCCCGGGAGGAGGAGGAGGAGGAGGAAGAGGCCGAGGCGGTCGAGTACCTGGCCCAGTTGCCGGAGCCGCTGCTGCTGCGCGTGCTGGCCGAGCTGCCAGCCTCGGAGCTGGTGCAGGCCTGCCGCCTGGTGTGCCTGCGCTGGAAGGAGCTGGTGGACGGCGCCCCACTGTGGCTGCTCAAGTGCCAGCAGGAGGGGCTGGTGCCCGAGGGCTGCGCAGATGATGAGCGGGACCACTGGCAACAGTTCTACTTTCTGAGCAAGAGGAGGCGCAACCTGCTGCGTAACCCGTGCGGGGAAGGTGAGGGCCACACACCGGAGTGCTCATTGCCCCCTCTAGAAAACGGCCCTTGGTGCCAGCCCACTTAAAGTTTAAATGAGATGAAACACGGTGTAATATCCGGCCCAGAACAATCCTCTGCTCCCTGGAGAGCCTTCCTAGGGTATCCACTCTCAGTGAACTGCGGATGGACAGGCCCAGTGGACTCTGGGTTCGGGGACGGGGTAGAATGAGGAAGCGCCTACAGTCCCATCGTTCATCCTCTGCCCACTGAGACCTTGAGAAGTACCCACACCCATTCTGCCTCCCACTACCAAGGCAAGAGCCAGCCCTGCCACAGCCTCAAGTAGGGGCCCTGTGACCAGGGTGGGGCTCTTGTGTCCCCACAGAGGACTTGGAGGGCTGGTGTGACGTGGAGCACGGTGGGGACGGCTGGAGGGTGGAGGAACTGCCCGGAGACAGTGGGGTGGAATTTACCCAAGATGACAGCGTTAAGAAGTACTTCGCCTCCTCCTTCGAGTAAGAAGAAGGGGCAAGGGGGGGAGAGGAAGGGGATAGCAGGGGCCTGCGGGATCCTGATGCCTCTTCCCCCAGGTGGTGTCGCAAAGCGCAGGTCATTGATCTGCAGGCCGAGGGCTACTGGGAGGAGCTGCTGGACACCACCCAGCCCGCCATCGTGGTGAAAGACTGGTGAGCGGCTGTGGAGGGGCGTGGTCAGGACTAAAGGGAAGGGAGAATGGTCGTGTGCCACACTTCTGTGTTGCGGCCACGTGACCCACAGGTCCACACGTGACCACAACGTGTAGAAAGCTATTTCCTGCCTTGAGTTTAAAATGTTAGCGAATGTGTGCGCGCTTGCTCTCGCTTAAGGCAAGGCTTACACCCTACCTGTATACACATATCCATATACAGTCCCATTTCTGTGAGTGTGACCGTCCTGACAATACGTACCCCCTAGCATGGCTTTGGTTCCAAAGTTGGGTCTGGCTCATTAGTCCCTATCTTTGGCTCTGAGGCTCAGATCCCTCTTCTCTGTGGCCGCAGCTTCCTTATTTGTGCAATGGGAACACTGTGTGTGTGTGTGTGGGGGGGGGGGGAGACACTGGCCAGGCATGGATGCTGGACTGGCCAGAAGAGATCTCTGGCAGAGTGAGGCTCAGCAGATGAGGCCTGCACCCCGCCACTCCCCTGCAGGTACTCGGGCCGCACGGATGCCGGCAGCCTGTACGAGCTCACCGTGAGGCTGCTGTCGGAGCACGAAGATGTGCTGGCGGAGTTCAACACCGGGCAGGTGGCAGTGCCGGAGGAAGGCGGCTGGATGGAGGTGATCCTGCAGAGTCGGGGGCGGGGCGGAGGCGAGGACATCCTGGGTGGAAGCTCCGCCCACAGATCTCCGGCGCCGAGAGGGTGGTCCCGGGCTCGTGGAGCCAGCGCCAAGTTCAGGCAGCAATCAGAGCTAGGGCCGGGGCGCTGCGCCCTCGTGGGGTGACAGGAACAGCCGTAGAACTCTGAGACTGACGCAATCCCCTTCATCCCCAGATCTCCCACACCTTCACCGACTACGGGCCAGGCGTCCGCTTTGTCCGCTTCGAGCACGGAGGGCAGGACTCGGTCTACTGGAAGGGCTGGTTCGGGGCCCGGGTGACCAACAGTAGCGTGTGGGTGGAACCCTGAGCGACCCCTACCCCCAGCCGCCCTCTAGGGGCAGAAGCCTGGGGTAGAAAGGCCTTAATTTAGTTGGTAGCATCCTCACCTGCCTCATCCACGCCTTGCACCTGCCTCTCCCCCGCCCCTTCCTCCAGCCTGGTCCCTGCGGGAGAGAAGGATTTGTTGCTTTATTGTGGGATGGCTTCCATTTGCATTTCCACGGCAGTCGCTTCTAGAATGTACGATCCGAGGGGGGCATGGGGCTGCTGCAGGATCCCGAGCATCTAGCATTGTGCCTGCCTCAAAGTGGGCACGCAATAAATATTTGTCCAAAGAAGGAGATAATGGAAGTGCAGATGAATGGACGTCTCCCCGTCTCCACCGCTGTCTCCCGAGGGCCTCTGGCCTGGCCTGGAAAAGTACTTGGTGACAGTCCAGACGCTCGGGTTTCCAGGGGCTCTTGGGTTGGTATGGGGCCAGCTGGGCCTGGGCAGCCAGCGGACAAAGGCTAGGATTGTGAGACCAAGGAGGGACTGGCTGAGCCTGGCGCCTGAGGACATCCTAGCTGCCCAGAATCCACAACAGGGCTTGGTAAGGGAGTGTGGGGTGCTTGCCCTGTAGACCCCTCTTGGCTCAGAAGTTAGGCTGTGACTTACTGCGTTGTCCTCATCCCTCTCTGGAGCGGTTTTGTGGGGGCCCCACCAGATTTGGTTACTTGGTTACTCTCTCTCTCTCTCTCTCTCTCTCTCTCTCTCTCTCTCTCTCTCTGTGTGTGTGTGTGTGTGTGTGTGTGTGTGTGTGTGTGTGTGTGTGTGCTTGGCTACTCTTTTCATTCCTGCTTCGCATTAAACTTCCTGGACAGGTCTTGTCTAGAAGCTGGCTCCATGCTGGGTGGCAGGCAGTGGGAAGGGTGTGTCAGGCTGTGTGTGTGTGTGTGTTTAGGCTGCTTGCTTTCTGGCATCTCAGCCCCTTTTGAGAAGGCTCTGTGACTGACTGGGGGGTGACAGTTCTTGTCACCATGTTCTGCGTTCAGTCCAAGTTTTAATGCCACCTACTGGTGAGGTGGGGCAGCCGCCAAGCTGGGCCAACCCTTGGTGTCTCCATTCTGACACCTATTCCTTCCTCCAAAATCCCGGGGCTGTAACCCAGAGCTTCATGGGCCTTGAAGTGAAAACATTCTGTCCCTTGAAGAGTCAGCAGACTGCCACAGCAGTGAACCCTGGCATGTCTTTAGGCCTCCTGTCTAATTGCTGCAAAGTCTCTGCCATGGGGCTTTGTCAGTCAGACAGGGAAGACACACTTTGACCCCACGACGACATGTGTGTGTCTGCCACATGTGTTCCGGTGCCCAAAGAAGAAGGCCTTAGATTGCCTGGATTGGAATTACAGGCGTTTGTGAGCTGCCCAACGTGGGTGCTGGGGTCTGAGCGTGGGTCCCCTGGAAGGACAGTCAGCGCGTGCTCTTAACCTCTGAGCCGTCTCTCCAGTCCTATACCGCTCTCTCCAGCTCTCCCACTCAGCCCAGCCCTTTCTAGGGGATTCCCAAGTCTGTGGGGAAGGCAGGGCTCACCCTACCACAGTTGCTAATCACAAGGGAAGCAGTTGGTGACCTTGGGCCCGACGTTAGTGGAAGGGGACGGGAACTCCTGAGCTTCTGGGATGAAATGGATAAGCAGGGAGGAGTTTTAGGACTGTGTGTGTGTGTGTGTGTGTGTGTGTGTGTGTGTGTGTGTAGCTTACCCAGCTCAAAGGAGGGAGCCCAAAGCTCTGATGCTGGGTTGTCTGCCTTCAGGTCAAAATGGCTTCTCAAGGAGCAGAAACCCACAGGAGAGACCCCAAGCTGGAATGACAGTTAAATTCAGTAGTTCAGGGAGACTAGCTGCCTACTGAGATGTGGATTCAGGTGGGGGCCAGGCATGCCTGACTCATGGGGCACAGGGCACTTGATGTCCACTCAGAGATGAGCAGAGATTGTCATCGTGAAGAAGCAGAGCCAGGGGAGGCCCTGGTGTGTCTGGTGGTGAACCCCTACTTTATCCCTTCTGTGCTGCAGAAGGAACCCACAGCCTCCTGCACGCTGGACGAGCGCTCTAACCACTGAATTACACCCCAATCCTCTTGACACTTCTTAATTTTGAGACCGAGTTTTCCTAGTTGCTCTGACTGGCCTTGAACTCATTCTGTAACCCAGGCTAACAATGAACCCACTATGTAGCCCAGGCTGCCCTTGAATTTGTTATCCTTCTGCCTCAGCCTTCCTAGTAGCTAGGATTACAGGCCTACAAAATGTGTGTTCCTGACCCGAGACACACGGCTTCCCTGGATCCTGGGAGAGACAGGGAGAGGAGAAATTGGGGAGAGGAGGAGGCTCGATCCCCACATTCACTGACTGAAACTGTGACTCCCAAACTGCCCTCCTCCATGTCCTGCTCTGAGGCGACCACGGTGGGAGGGGGGCTTGCTGGCATTGGCCTATAATCCCAGCACTGACAGACAAGTGCATATCCGTGAGTGTGAGGCCAGCTTGGTCTACGTAGAGAGTTAGTTAAATCCAGTCAAGCAGGCAGCCTCTGCTGGGATACACACTGGAGGAGAAGCACGGTCACAAACGATCAGATGAAGGCAGCTGCCAACACTAGGTGGCGCTCTCCCCACACACCCGGCACCTTTAAGAGCTTGGCCTGTGTCACATACTGAGTTATAACAACCTCATATGTGGGTACCTATGTGGGGTGCCTCATATGTGGGGTGGGTAATTAGTTTCTCTTAATGTCCGGGCATGGTGGTGTATATCTTTAATCTGAACACTCTGGAGGCAGAGGCAGGTAGATCTCTGTGAGTCTGATCTACATAGTGAGTTCTAGGACAGCCTGGGCTATGCAGTGAGATTCTGTCTTAAAACAATAAACAAAACCAAAAAACCCCAAACAAACAAACAAAATAAAAAAAAAATCCTCCTATACAAAAATCCAAATCAAAATTAATAATATCAAAAGATAAAATTTAAAGATTAATTTTTGGTTTTTTTTATGTATAAGAGTGTATGTCTTTGTGTGTAAGTCGCATGCATGTGCGTGCCCCAGGAGAGCACCAGATCTCCTGGGAGTGAAGTTACCTGTAGTCATGAGCTTCCTGACATGGGTTCTGGAAACTGAACTTGGGTTCTCTGGGAGAACAGCGAGTGTTCTTAAGTGCTGAGCCACTGCTCCTGCCTCAATTGTTTCTATATTTTATGAGTGAGGAAATTGAAGCACATACAAATTAGACACCTTTTCCAAGGCCACACAACCCCCTGGTCACACAATCTCCTGGTCACACAGCCTCCTGGTCACACAGTCTCCTGGTCACACAATCTCCTGGTCACACAGCCCCCTGGTCACACAGCCCCTGGCTACACAATCTCCTGGTCACACAGCCCCCTGGTCACACAGTCTCCTGGTCACACAGCCTCCTGGTCACACAGCCTCCTGGTCACACAGCCTCCTGGTCACACAGTCTCCTGGTCACACAGTCTCCTGGTCACACAATCTCCTGGTCACACAATCTCCTGGTCACACAGCCTCCTGGTCACACAGCCTCCTGGCTACACAATCTCCTGGTCACACAGCCCCCTGGTCACACAGTCTCCTGGTCACACAGCCTCCTGGTCACACAGCCTCCTGGTCACACAGCCTCCTGGTCACACAATCTCCTGGTCACACAGTCTCCTGGTCACACAATCTCCTGGTCACACAGCCTCCTGGTCACACAGCCTCCTGGTCACACAGCCTCCTGGTCACACAATCTCCTGGTCACACAATCTCCTGGTCACACAGCCCCCTGGTCACACAGCCCCCTGGTCCTTGTAGAAATAGAATTCTGCTCAGCTGCGTGGGCATTGATTGCTATGGTACTGTCAACAAAACTAGATGGAGGGTGGTAATGTCACTTGTTCAAGGTGCTCAGGAGGGGTCTCTGTGAAGCGACCCTTGAAGACGATGAAGAGGACCCAGCTATACGGAGCTCTGGGAGAAGAACATCACAGCACTGGCAAATGCAAAGGCCCTGAGGTTGGGAATGAACTTGTCTACACACTAGGAAAGAAGCCAGCATGCCTGGAGTGTTGGCACATAGTTTGATGAGCATAGAGATGTAGGTGGTGACCCAGAGAGTCTCCTGAGGGCTCACTGTGTGGCCTGTGGGGAGAGGGAGTTGCTGGGAATGTGGTGGGGGGAATCAGACACTGGCAGTTTCCAATCTTGCCTGTAAAATCATGTTTCCAGAGAACGCTGGATGAGAGGATGGGAACAGTGAAGGTGAGCGGTTCTGTTGTCACCAGCAGTGTCTGCAGTGACACCGGGTGCATGCTGAGGACTCCCGGGAAGAGCCCAGGCTCATCCTGGCTCACTAGCCCCTTCTGGGAGACCCCCATGCATCCAGTGACTGTTCCATTGCTGTGACAGAGTACCCGACCAAAGCAACTTAAGGGAAGGAAGGGTTTATCATGACTCACAGTGTGAGGGTGCAGTCCACCAAGGCATGGAGCAATCCAGCATGGAGGCAGGAGGTGGAGTTGCCCACGTGTGGGATGGACTGCCCACGTGTGGGATGGGGCTGCCACGTGTGGGATGGACTGCCCACGTGTGGGGTGGACTGCCCACATGTGGGATGGGGCTGCCACGTGTGGGATGGACTGCCCACGTGTGGGATGGGGCTGCCATGTGTGGGATGGAGCTGCTATGTGTGGGATGGGCTGCCATGTGTGGGGCGGGGCTGCCACGTGTGGGGCGGGGCCACCCACATTAGGTCTTCCCATCTTGTTTAGCCCAGGCTAGACTCTCCCTCTCACAGACAAGCCCAGAGACTTGTCTCCTAGGAGCTGTCAAGCTGACAGTGTTAACCTTTGCCTCTTGTTGCTGGTGGGAGAGGCTGTGGACTGGCTACTCACGTGGTCAGAGGATGGGGAAGCTGTTTCCAGCTCCCCGAGTGGTCCAAGTCAGCACCATATAGAATCAGACATGGGCTCCTATTGGAGGTCAGGGAGGAGCTGGGGCTGAAATGGACATGGTAGGGATGGAGATTTCAGCGTTCTGGCATGGGACATAGCCCAGGCCGATCGAATGAGTCTTCAATTCAGGTTCTGAAACATTTTAATTATGGGGGGGGCATGTGATGTAAAATGAATTTCCTTGTAGATTCCTGGTGATTGCCTCTTTTTAGACACTTTGTAATGGAAAAATCACTTTTTATTAATTAACTCTATGTGTATCGGTGTTTTGTCTGCATGTATGTCCTGGTGTCAAGAAGGCCTGAAGACGTTGGATCTCCTGGAATTGTAGTTACAGAGTTGTGAGCTGCTCTGTGGGTGCTGAGAACTAAACCCAGGTCCTTTGGAAGAGCAGTCCATGCTCTTAACCGCGGAGCCGGAAACAGTCCTCTTTCCTTTCCTAATTGATTTGTCTTGTAAATACGGTTTTCGTTGAGGGAAGGAAAGGGCAGTTCCTCTTACAACCACCAGATGGCAGCATCGCATCATCAAG